TAAATACCTTAGTAAAATTGGCAGAGTTCTATTCTGTTTCATTAATTAATGTTAAGTGCTAGTCGATTTTCAAACTGAAAAATCTGTTGCAGATTCATAGATGCTAGTAATCAGCAATTGAGTTTCTTAGTATGCATGATTGATCTGCTAGGTTTCAGAAATCTTTGGTTTCATTAATGTGACTGATCTGCTGCACTTCTAGTTTCCATGTCAAGCAAATTAGAAACAACCGGTTTCCTAATAGATTCATCTTTTGTGATAAAGAAGAAACTGAAAACATCAAGGGAAACCATAGAATTAGAAAAATAATAAGTTTAGGAACAAACTTCCGGAAATATTTTAGACAATAATGAACGCAAGTAGATTCTTAAGCAAATAGTTGGAAGAAACAATGCCTCGATCGTGCTGTAACTCTGGCCTTTATTGTTGGGAATAAACCCCTTACCAAAATAATATTCACGGTAATAAAGCGGAATAATAATGTAGCACCGAGATACGGTAATTAACAAGAATAAAAGAGTAACAATGACACCAAGATTTTTACGTGGAAAACCCTTCTGAATAAGGGAAAAAACCACGACCCCGAGAGGAGCAACTGATATCACTATAGTAAGGAATTTTACAACTTTGTAGGTCGGAGGTAAATACTCCAAAGACCACTACAACACTCAAAAGAAATAACCCTCTTTTGATATTCCCACCTCACTACAATATCGCTCACTCTCTATTTTCCTCACAGACTATTTTCTTATACCTTGTCTGTGAAACCTCACTCTTTCTTTCTCTCTTTGTTGGTGTGTAGAAATGAGAGTTGAAGCTCTCCTTTTATAGCCAAAGCTTCACCCTCTAAAGCCTACAATATTTGACAATTTACACACACTTTTCACAATTCAACAAAGTTGGCTACCAAACCAAAGAAATTCAACAAGGTTGGCTACCAAACCAAACTAATTCAACAAGGTTGGCTACCAACCAAACCAAGTCAACAAGGTTGGCTACCAAACCAAAGAAAACTCTTATTAGGCACATGCCTAATACTTCTTCAATGAGATGGACATCATCATTTATTACTGCTATCGAAGTTGATAAATAGGATGTACACTAAACATTCTGGTAGATGGGATAGAGGAAACTTCGGCATGCATTAATTCAAGTGGGAGTTAAAGTTCTGTTTTCCATAAGCTCATTTCCAGTAATCACAAACGGTCTCTGCAGGTCTATAACTAGTCAGCAAGACATAATAAAATATTATACCTGATAAAGATGTTATCTTGACACATGGGAATTTTGTAGCCCTTAATAAAACTGCTTGTGAGGTTTGAGTAACATTATTTGAGTACAAAAAAGTTTACCTGACTATTATACCAACATTTCAAGTTTATGGGCTCTCTTTCTTGGTTATGGGATTATTGTTGCTGGTGACACTCTGGTTGTTACAAGAAAATTTAGAGTTGACAAGATGGTAATATCTATCAGGAATATATTGTTCCTGCCACTTCTCAGCAGTCCAATAAATGGCCTGAAACTGGTTTCATGTCACAAAATGCATTGATGAGTTCTCTAGGACTCTCGCCATGTAGGTTTTGCGCAGGTACTGACCCTGAAACATCAACTGTAAATTAAATGTCCTCTAAACAATGTACAATAGCGAAACTCCTGTTTTGAATAGCACAGTCTTGTAGAATGGCTCATTTCTTATACCCTTGATCGGCTAACTTGTTTTTCAATTTTCCCCTAAATGGATGAAATTACAATGTGTTAAATGCCACACAGGGTAGCAGAGAATTTATATCTTTCTTTATTGTGATAAGTCAGATGATTTATCATCAATATAATTAAGTGTTCCCCGAGGTTATATTTGTATATTTTGCCTTTACATTCCAGAATTGTTCGTCATTATTGTTCAATCCAGGGTTATGGCACGACTTGAGATCACTGCTGCAGGAACAGTAAAGCATGGTTGCAATACTGAGAAAGTTCAGTAGCCTTCCAGCTGCAAATATCTAAACTAGTGAATGAGTGAACTTTGGAATGCCATTTCACGCGGCTAATTCATCACAGAAGTTTCTTGGCGTGTAACGTGTTCAATAGATTGTTCCTTGGACTGGTACTTCCAATTGCTGCTTAGCTTTTAGTTTCAACTTCAGTTTTGCCTTGCTTATTGTTGCTGCTATCCTGCAGTGAATAGTGATGCTTATCTCCAAAGTATTAATACGGCCTTAAGATTTCCAAATATGCAGTATTGTTTAACTGATAATAACCATTACGTATTGCTGGCCATATCTGATCTGTTTCTTGGATGTATAATGAAATAGAACATGGCAAGACATCTGCTAGGACATGTAAAGATGAAATACCTTCATAGATTGCTATACAATATGTACAACTAGAATGATATGAATCCTTAATCAGTTCTAAAAATGTATTACTGATAATTTGATGATGAGAATGAAATGAATGAGATCTGATAGAAATTTACATGTTAAATCCTTAATCAGTTTTAAAATCTATATTTATCGATAAGGGAATTGATTTGATCTTTTGAACTAAATCTGGGATATCAATGTGGACCAAAAACAATGACATAGAGAAAAGAGACACAAAAGGTGATCATATTATTACATACTACACGAATGGCAGAATAGCTTCTTTGATCTGACCTTTTGAACCAAAAATGTAAAACCAATTGTGGAGCTTATTCATTGCTCATTTTCAGGGTAAACGTCAAATACAAAAAGGAGACACAAATAAACATCAAACTAAAGCACGACATCCAAACATTCATCGTTTTTGGCAATAAAGTAGAGATCCTTCTCTTTCGCTGCACTCATTCCAGGTTTCTCGCTCATATCCAAATCTTTCAGACTAGTTCCATATGGAAGCTCCCTGTTTAAGTGGTTGAGGAGCCGAGCCAAGGATATCTAAAATTACCTAAAGCATTCCAGGGCAAATTCATTTGCCCGACCCAAATGGAATAAACTCAAAGTGATTTCCCATATAGTCAATAGAAGAATTTTCAAATCTCTCTAGTATAAAACTCTCCGGGTCATGCCAAACTTCTGGATCTCTTCCAATTGCCCATGTATTAACTAGTACTGTGGCCTTAGAAGGTATTGTATATCCATCAATACATGTTTGTTCCCTACATTCCCTATGCAATATACTTGGAGCGTGTAGCCTTAATGTTTCTTTAACCACTAACAATTTATCAAAATCTTCTTCATCAAAACTCGATTTCCCTTTGAAGGCTCGTCTCACTTCACTCTGCGCCTTGGCCATGACGTTTGGGTTCTTCATCAGTTCTGACAACGCCCAAATAATAGCTGTAGATGAAGTTTCAGTTCCAGCAGTAAGCATGTCCTACATCAACAAATAATAAATAACAACATCAGAACAATGCAATGAGAAGAGTTGCACCTAAACATCTCTATTTAGCTACATACATTTGAATGATGATTATATATGCATTTTGTACCCCTTTTAAGAGTCCTCCCGAGCTTCTATAATTTTTGTTTTGTCAAATTAGAACCACTTAACTAATCACCGAGATGGGATTGACATAGATTTGACCCTTTATATTATATAGAGAAGAAGAAGTTAGTGACAAAAACAATTAAAATACTTTTTTAACGAAAAATTATTTAATTTTACCTAAGTAATATGAAAGTCACTTAGACATAGTAATTTATTGAAAATAGGAGTAACTAATATGGTCACAAAATCTCCCACTCGTTCTCAGCACCAGTTGAGTATCACTAGCAAAAAGCTATTCTTTAAAAGCTACAGACTTGCATCAATAGAAGAAGGTGAAACTGCAAGTTTATGCAAAATGGGAGGAAATGGTTGTTCAAAGACGAATGCCCATGTCTATTTTGATGGCTTGCATCCAACTAAAGCTGTTAACGTTGTGCTTGGTAACAGTTTTTTTCAACAATGTGGTATGTGACGTCCAGACAGACATGTTCTATGTCTAATGATTTCGGGTATAACTTGCATTCAAAGACTCGATGGTTTACGGATTCTCAATGCGAGAGTCGATATATGGTAATAGGGCTTTTGATTCTAATTTTAAAGTTGAACTTTACCCGACAATTGGAAACCGCTCTCTCAAATTTAAGACATTGCCCTTTGTCATGTCTAATTTTATTTTCTTAGATGGAATTACGAGTGTTGATAAGGTATTATGCTTGTATTATCTCGGTTGCTTTTATTCTACTTATGCATAATTGGTGTTTATCTCAATTGAGAAAGCCTATTCACATTTCAATTGAATACGCAAGAAGAATTGGAGATGCATATTAGATAATAGGTAATTGATTACTACAAAATTGTTTTTGTTTTGGTAGATTACTAAAAAATTGTTATTTTAAAGGAAATATCTAAAATAAATGAAATTAAGATATAATTGCCAAATCTCCTAAACTATGCTTCACACTTGTGCTTTAAAATAAATTGTTGTTATTGAGGATTTATGCATTAATATTATGTATATTTCAACTTTCAAGCAAAAATAAAGAGGACTGTTAATGAGCTTTTAGATATAAAAATAAAATTTCTTCATTTTTATTGGCGTATATCCGGTAGTAAAATTGAGGAGAACTTAATTAATTTATGTAGATGGACAATTTTACAAAGAAAAATATTTACGAGTTATAATAGAGGATAAATTTCATTTTTATAGAAAATTTCTTCAAGATTTTCATCTTCAAAATAATTTATTAGTTTCTAGAATAATTTATGCGACAATAATATAAAATTGAAGTAACATATTAAAATTTTGTACTACTCCATTTAGGAATAGGAGATGAGACCGAATATAATAGGGTAAGCGTAGACTAAATAGCCAAATGGGAAACAAAACTTTTAAGCAACCAAAATACTTACTAGTACAAAAACTACACTACTTAGCAGAGGTGAGAGGGACAGAGAATATTCACATAACATTCTTTGTAGTAACCTAGTTATTTCTAATGGCGAAAGGAGAAGAAGAAGTAGAAGTTATGTGGAAGAGAGGGAGAACATTGGGGAAAGGAGGCTTTGGCTTCGTTTCGTTAGCTTCCTCTGATGATACCAATTTCACTGCTACTGTTCATCATTGTCTAATTCTATCACTGATTGTGGTAAAGTCTAGTATGTTCAGCCATTCTGAATCGCTTCAAGTAGAGAGGGAATTTCTCCACTTGTTCGAAGATTCTCCTCACGTTATTCGCTCTTTCGATGTTAAAGTTACGCTAGAAGACGGTGTTCTCCTTTACAACTTATTGTTAGAATATACATCTGATGGAAGCTTGGCGGATCGCTTGAATTGTTCAGGGAAAGGAATGCCAGAGGTTGAAGTTAAAAAACACACCAAAAGCGTCGTTTTAGGGCTTATTCGCATTCATGGCGTGGGAATCATTCACTGCGATATAAATCCTCACAACGTTCTACTTATTACTCCTACTGATGATGATACAACAGAGATTGCCAAGACCGCTGATTTCGGTCTTGCTATGACTTTGGAACAGAGCTGGACACAAAAGCAAGGACTCAGGGGAACCAAAAGGTACATGGCACCTGAATTCATGCTTAAGCGGGAGTACGGTCCAAAGGCGGACATCTGGGCTCTTGGTTGCACTGTCTACGAGTTGATCACTAGGACACCCCAATGGGAATCATCCAATTCTTATGCAAAGGTTGATGATGTGTTATACCGAATCGGGTATGAGGAACCAAGTTTTGAGAATGCGAAACTGTCAGCAAAGGCAAAGGATTTTGTGAGAAGTTGTCTGGTCAAGAATCCGAGCTCGCGTTGGACTACCGACATGCTCTTAAATCATTCTTTTCTGAAATCAGCCAACAATGTGCAGCCTGCAACAAAGACAAGGAAGAAGCAATGTGGTTACATGTCCCTTTTTGCGTAGACCCCATCGAAAGACAACATTCAAGACACGACCACACAGTCGCAATTTGGTTATAGAACATTGATGCATGATCAGAATGCACCTGCTGAATCTGAAGAAAGTAGAGAACGGAATTCGTGAAAGGCTGCTAGCTACTGACAGTAGATAGATGATTCTGTTGAAAAATTAGTGATATATCAAAAGGTAATGTCCATCTTGGTTTGGGAAAACTTTTCTCTTTGAAATATTATTTACATCTACTTATTATTTAGTAAGTTATTTTACAATTGATAGAGTCAAACTAGCCGTTATCTAGCTGTTGAAGCAACACCTATATAAACATGGTCTTTGAAGAGCTAAAGACACACTTTCTAATACAACTTTCTGAATCATCTTCTTCCTTCTATGTGCTGGGTTTCTTTCTTGAGTTTTCTGCTAGTTCTGTTCCCAGTTTAATAACTGGAAGAGCTTGTTGAATCCTGGGGGATACGCCTAATTTTATTTATCACTATGTGGGTGAAATATCCTTAAGGACAGTGTCCTTGACACGCCTCAAGCTAAATCTTATTCTCCATAATCATCAATATCTTTCCAACAATCTTAAGGATAATTCTACTTTATTCTTATAGAGAATGCTACTTATGAAATTCTGATGGACTTTACAGACATATGGTAATGTCTTCTGCTTGATATTGCGTAATATATATCTAAGTAACAGGTATGGATAATTGAACTAATACCTCCTCAACATTTATTCTTTCATGCTTATTCTCGTGAGAATATAATTGGCATATATCTTTGGCCTTAAGATGATACATATAATCTCCTTCTAATTTTATTAGTATTTCGGGGTGTGCGTTATTTGCTGTAGTAAATTTGTAGCGTGTTATTATGTATGTGCATTTTGTATTGTGAAAAAAAATGCATATTTTTTTTTAGTCTTATAAGAGAAGCTTTTGTAGTTCTCTTTATCTTGAATGTTTTGAATTTACTCTCTTAAAATTTTAAAGAGGCAATATATTATTTGTTTTGAGCAGTGGTAAAACTTGATTTT